TCATGATTGCTATTTAGCATAGTACTCTCAGATCTAGGCAGTACAATAAGGCAAGAAAATGAAATAAAATAAACACGGAGCAGTAAGAAAGAAATAAAACTGTCCTACTTGCAGATGACATTATTGTCTACATAGGAAATCCCAAGGAATCTACAAAAAAAAAATTCCCACAACTAATAAAATGAATTAAGCAATGTTGTAGGATACAGAATCAATACACAAAGATCAATGATACCTCTATATACTAGCAGTGAACATGTGGGAACTGAAATTAAAAATGCAAATCACATATAGTCACTGCAAAAATTAAAATACTTAGGTATAAGTCTAACAAAACATGTGTAGGATGCATATGCTAAAAAACTATAGAATGCTGAATAAAGAAATCAAGTATCTAAATAAATGGAGAGACATACTGTGATTACGGGTTGGAACACTCACCATAGTCAAGATATCAATTCTACTCGAATTGATATAAACTTAACACAATTTTTATCAAAACCCCATAAAGACTTTTTGCATATATACATAAGATATTCTAAAATTTATATAGAAATGTAAAGGAACTTGTATAGCTAAAATAATTTTGTAAAAGAAAAACAAAGTGAAAGGAATCACTCTGCCCAGCTTCAAGATTTCTTACATAGCTGCAATAAGCTTGTGAAGGGTATACAAGACCATGTAGTATTGGTAGAGGGACAGACACATAGGGCCATAAAACCAGCTACCTAATGCCCACCACCAGTGACCCCATCCCCTCCAGCTGCAGAACCCCCAACCATTGTATGTGCCCCCTGGGGACTAAGAACCAGCCCACCCAGCACCTGCTGCTGCCAGCAATCCCACCTCTCTACCTGCAGAGCTGCTGTGCACCACACATGTCCCCCAGGAACTGAGGACCAGACTGACTGGTGCCTGCTGACAATTCCCTCTCTACAACTGGTGTAGATGCTGTGTCCAGCAAATGCCTCCCAGAACCTGAGAACTGACCTGTCTGACAGCCCCTGGCTCCAGCAAAGCCACACCACTGCCTCCACAAACACCTGCAGTCTAGTCCATGAGAGGCTTTCAGATGCCCCTGGAATTGATTACAGCCAAAGAAATCACATGGAGACTACACTACTGTATTCACCCAGAACCAAATCCAAAGCACCCTAGCCAAACATCTAAAGGAAAAATATTTTCCTATTGAAGCTACTCTATAAAATTGGAGGAAAATGACTGTTTCACCAGATGCACAGGTATCAATATTGGGGCAAGAGAAACAGGAAAAAATAAGGAAACATGACACTTCCAAAGGAATGCACTAATTCTCTAGTAACAAAACCCAAAGAAAAGAAAATCTACAAAATGCCTGAAAAGGAATTCAAAATAATGATTCTAAGGAAACTCAGTGAGATATAAGAGAATATAGATAGATAATTCAAGAAAATCAGGAATTCATGGTCGCAATGAGAAATTCAACAAAAAGAGATCATAAAAAGGAACCAAATAGAAATCTTGGAGCTGAAGAATTCAATGAATAAAATAAAAATACAATCAAAGGCTTCAACAACAGAAAAATATTTCTGAACTTGAAGATAGGTGTTTTGAAATAATGCAGTCAGACCAAAAAGAAAAAAGAATTTAAAAGAATGAAGAAAACCTACAAGACTTATGGGACACCCCTAAATGAATATTCACATTATAGGCATTCCAGAAGGAGGAGAGATGGGAAAATCATAGAAAACTTAATGAAATAATAGTTGAAAACTTCCCCAGTCTTGGGAGAGATATGGACAGCCAAATCCAAGAAGTTCAAAGATCCTCAAATAGATTGAACCCAAAAAAGTCCTCTTTAGGCACATAATAGTCAAATTGTCAAAAGACAAAGAGAAAATTTTAAAAATAGCAATAGAAAAGCATCAAGTCACATAAAAGGGAATCCCCATTAGACTAAAAGCAGATTTCTTAGCAGAAGTCTTATGAGCCAGGAGAGAATGAGATAATATAATCAACATGCTGAAAGAAAAAACTGTTAGCCAAGACTACTATATTCAGCAAAGCTATCCTTTAGGAATGAAGGAGAAATAAAGTCTTTGTAAGATAAGCAAAAACTGAGGAAATTCATCACCACTAGACCAGCCTTACAAGAAATACTTAAGGTAGTTCTACATCTGGAAGCAAAAGGACAATAACTACCATCATGAAAACATGCAAAAATACAAAATTCACTGGTAGAGAAGATACACAAATGAGAAAGAAAGGAATCAAACCACATTAACTACAGAAAACCACCAAACCACAAAGATAAGCAATGAAAGAAACTAAGTATATATAAAACAACCAGAAAACAAATAAAAAAATGACAGGAGTAAGTCCTCACTTATCACTAATAACCTTGAATATAAACTGATTAAATTTCCCATTTAAAGGTTTTGACTGGCTGAATGGATTACAAAAAAAGAAAGAGAGAAACTTAACTATATGCCGCCTACAAGAAACTCACTTCACCTGTAAAGATACACATAGATTGAAAGTGAAGAGATGGAAAAAGATGTTCTACACAAATGGAAACCAAAACCAAGTAGGAATAGCTATACCTGGATAAAATAGACTTTAAGTCAAAAACAGCAAAAAGAGACAAAGAAGTTCACTATATAATGATAAAGGGATCAATTCAGCAAGAGGATATAACAATTGTAAAGCAAATTCAATGTCTTTTTAAAATTGAGGTGAAATATGCATATATAATTTACCATCTTTACCATTTTTAAATATATGGCTCAGTGGCAATACATAAATTTACATTCTTTTTTTCCCCTTCATTCCCACCCACCCCCACAACCCTTCCTGGACTCTTATAACCACTATTCTACTCTCTATCTTCTGAGATCCACATTTTTAGGCATAGCCATATTACTCAGCCATAAAAAAGGAGTGAGATCCTGTCATTTGCAGCAACATGGATGGAACTGGAGGACACTATGTTAAGTTAAATAAACCAAGCACGGAAAGGCAAATATTCATGCTCTCACTTATGTGTGGATTTCAGTGTCTTTTCATAATAAATATTTTTAGCCAATCAGGAACAAAAGGGAACATTCTTCACAGAAGAAAAGTTATTTATAAAAACACACAGCAAATATCGTACTGAATGGTGAAAATAGTGAAAGCATTTTCTCTGAGATGGCAACAAGGTAAGGATGTTTGCTACCACCATTTTTCACTAAGTATTGAATTGGAAGAAACAGCCAATGTTGCAAGGCAAGAAAAAAAGACAAGTCTAAAATTTTTGAAGCAAGGAAAAAAAAATAGTCATCATTCTCTGATTATTGCTTATTATGGAGAAAATCTAAATAATTTACAAATACATTATAAGAATTGAAAAGAGAGTGTAGCAAGGTGACTAGACACTAAATCAGTATGTAAAAAAATCTATTGTATTTCTCCATTCCAGTAAGAGTTTATGAAATTTTTGTTAATGATACCAAGAACTGTAAAGTAACTAGGAGTAAATCCAGCAAAGAGCTCAAAGATCTTTAGGAATAATATTATACATTATAAATTATAAAATTTCTTGGATGATATTAAAATAAAGAGAGAGATATTTACTGCTCATGGGTTGGAAAACTCAATGTTATAAAAATGTTAGTTATCCTCAAATTGATGCATAGAGTCAATGTAACTCCAATTTTTAAATTATAAAAAGAATTAATCATATAATTTAAGAACCTGGTTGTATAGTTTATGTGGAAGAACAAAAGGACCAAAAATAGCCATGACATATTTGAAGAGGTACTGGGTGGGGCTAAAGGGACTTACCCTACAAGAAATCAAAGCATACTATAAAGCAGTATTAATTAGGGTGATACAGTGATAACACAGAAATAGAACAATAAACCAATGGAAAATATTAGAGATGCCATTCACAGAATCATTCATGTTGGGAGACTTCATACACAAGAGATGGTATTGCAGATCAGTAGAGAAAGGATGGGCTGTAAATACAACTAGGAAAAGTAGGAAGACATATGTGTTCCAGGAGAAATGTATAAAATACTCATAGCAGCATTCCCTGGGAAGCAACCCAATTATTCATCGAAGTAGAATGTATAAATAAGCTGTGCTTATCTATGTGAAGGGAAGGAGAGGACTGGGATCATGCCGGGATATCCAGGAAGCCTCAAAGGTACTGACAATGTTCTATCTCTTAAATTATGTGGTGATTATTATCCAAAGTGAGGCACCACGAGAGCAGAAGAATGGGCTCCACTTGTACTCGCCATCAAACTGGTACTAACTGATCAACACTAGGGTGATCACATGGCAGAAATACTCTCCAGGGATTAGGGGGATAGGGATTAAAAGGACACGGGGAGCACTGTAGGAGGGGAAGGGCATGCCTTTAATCTGCACTTGGGTGAGGCAAAGACATAAACTGTAACCCTAATGTTTGTACCCTCACAATACCCTGAAATAACCCCCCCCTCAAAAAATTATGTGGTGATTATATTATTATTCTCTAAATTAAAAATGTGTTTCATATACTTTCATATTCATTTATATATATGTACTATACTTCACATATTAAATTATTTTAAACACCAAAAGTGTTAAGTGCTAACTTTTAAACACCACAATGCCATATAAATTCTTACCAACCAGATTGACAAAGATCAAAAAGTCTCAAAAACAACATACTATGTTGGCAGAGTGTAGGAAAACAGACATTGTCATTCACTGATGAGAGGAATGTGTAAAATTGGTAGTATTTATCAAAATGCAAATGAGCACAAAAAAGATATATTTTTACAACATGTGTTAAATTATGCATGTGGAAGGATATTTGTTGTAACACTGATTGTAACAGCATAAACTTGGAAATTCTAAATGACTCTCAGCAGCAGACTGGCTGATTACAGGAGGGTACATCCTTACAACAGAGTATCTGCAACCATTTAAAAGCATGACAACTATTTTTTTTTTTAGGACAACTCACCAAAGTATATATATTTTTTTTTCAAGGCACATTTAATTTAATATCAAGAGTGCAATACAAAAGGCCCAAATACAATGAAGGAACACATTCCCCCATTAACACCAACGACACTGCTCTTTTAACATGTGCCTGTTGAATGGAATGTGTATTTCATAAAGTTTGCTACTGAAAAAAACAACGCAGTGAGTCTCATCACAGCCAATACCCTTATACAATCTAGTTGTGAAATGAATGTTTATAATGCTTCAAACAGTTTAAACCTGAAGTTTGATACCACACCTTCATGTTTGTACAGTCCTCAGTAAGATTATCTACAGTTTTTGCAACCATTCAAAGAACACACCATTGATTAAAACCACATTGATGTAAGGCTCAATCAAGTAATATAGAGCCCCGAACTAAATGGTTAAATATATGTACTACTTGTACTGACATCTATTATTTGATTCTCTCATGACTATTAAAAGTTGGTTCTTAGTAAATAATCCCTTTAAAGGCAAAATTCACCTCATTTGAGTTTTGACCCAGAAGTTCAACAACAATCAGGAAGTCCACAGTCTTATTGGCAAAACTGATATACAGTGTCTCTAAGTCACTATGCTCAAGGTTAAGAGCGATGCATATTCCATTTTTACATTTTACTGGAATTTTACATGTTCAATTCATGATTAATCTCTAGGTTTTCATTCCTCCAAATTGTCTGAAGACACACTGTGCCACAGACTTAAGACTTCTGTTTCTCCCTCTATTTTCTTCAAACAGAAACAATTTCTCATTTCTCAAGTGTCTACATGTTCTAGAAGGGGAATTTTTCGGAGGTGGCCACTTCTTCGGAATAGTCCGACGGCATCAGGCCTCTGAAGCAAGGGGAAGGGGAAGAGAAAAAAGCTGAAACACAAGGTTCATCTGGTAAGTTTTACATTAACCATTACAAGCTGAACAGTATAAGAATGTGGCTTTTTTTGGCTCAAAAAGTCTGAGTCTTGGTGTGGAAACGAGTGCTTGGCTGTCCCACCACAGCTTTCTCGTAGTGGGACTGTCAGGGAAGTCTTGACTAGGGAGTATGATTTGTTTACCTATCAGGCGTAAACTTCCAGGCACTCAGTTCATTTTGGGCTTGTTCCAGTTTGTCTTTAGTCTGTTCCAGTCGACCTTTCATTTTTAGGAAAAACAAGTTGATCGCTGGGTCCACCATTGTTGATCTCCAAAGTATATTTTTAAGTGAAAAAAAACAAGATATTAAGGCAATGTATATTTGAGTAAATTTGTTTCAAAAATATTTACTAGCATATACATAGAATATCCCTGGGGAAAAAAGCATACAAGAAATTGCAAATATTGGTTGCCTCAAGAGAGAATAACTGTATGATTGGAGAGAGAGGCTTAATTTTTAATGTATACACTTCTACATGTTTTAATTTAGTCCCAAGCACAAGCAATACCTACTGATACAGTGATGATAACCATGGTGGCAGTGATGACAAAGAGGGTCGAGTGTATTTAATCCCAGCTCTGCCACTCACAAGACGTGGTCATTGGTAAATTGTTTAACTTTAAAGTCTGTTCCTTCAAACAAAAATATAATGGGATAATAATACAAATCTCCCTGGGCAGACTGGAAGTAGGGACTCAATACCTATGTGTTGCTGGATTTTAACGAACTTATAACATATGTAAAGTGTTCTTGGTGACTGGCATGTGGGGCAGCTCGATGCAGGGACTAGCGCTGCTGCTGCTGTTGTAAGAACTCTGTCCTCTCTCCCCATTCTGGATCTCCAGGACTTCAACTTGGGCACAAGGTGCTCTTCCCTGAAGCACACAGTGGCTTTGATTCTCTGAGACCTCAGGCCAAGCTCAGGAGGAAGCTAGCACTTCTGGGGCACCTCTCCATCTCCAGTAGATCCTGTCCCTGCCTCTAATTGGGATGGGGGTGTGGTCCCTGGAGCCTCCAGGGATGCACAGGGCCTGCACCCCATGCACACATGACGTTTCAAACTTTAAATTGCTTGTGGGATCAGCAGGGTCCCTGCTGGAGTAACGAGGGAGTCAGGGGCTCCATGGGGTCCACAGTGCTGTCTGAGGACTCCCTTCAGCTCCTGGGGAAAATCCAGCCTTGGGACGTCCGGGCCTCAGACCGGGCTGCCAGGTCCTCTACATGAACAGTCTGTAGCTGAGCTTTCAGCTGGCAGGAATGAAGGGAGGAAGGAAATGAGAGAGACACCCCACAGAGCCTACAGCTCCCACAAGATTTAGGAGGAAAAAGAAGAAAGATGGTCTTCAAGGTAAAGACAGCCAGGTAGGGGAGTGTGGGGGTCTATCTCGGGCCAGAGACTGGTCTGACCCGGGGCTCAGTGAGGAGGAGACTCAGAGAAGTGGCCACCAAGCAGGACACAGCTGGGGAGAGCCGGGCTGGGCAGGGACAGAGGTGGTGGCCTCTGCAGAGCCTTTCCCTAAGATGTGCTTTCCTCCTGCCCTGCCCAAGCTCCCAGAAACCTTCCAGCTGACCCTGGTCCTGCTGCTGGAGCCTAGAGGAGCCACAGGCGGGGGAGGCCCAGGCAGTCTCCTGTCCCCTCCGTGGTGCCCCATACCCAGGTCCCTGCCCTGTCCTTGCTGCTCTGTCCCCTCATGAAGCTCAGGAGGAGGCTGGCAGGGATGCTATCCCCACTCTGCAGGTGAGGAAGAGGCTCAGAGAGAACAGGGCGGGCTGAGGGTGAGGCAGGAGATGGGCGAGGCCGCACCCGCACCTGCCTCTGTGATGCCGGCCCTGAGGCTACTTCCTTCCATTTTCTCCCGCTCCTCTCACACATGCAGAGATACTTTCCTCAATACAAAATAAATGTTTGTGGCAAGAGAAAATTCGGGAAACGCTGAAGCGGTACCCAGAGGAATGCCCTGCCCCTGCCGATTTTATGATGATTGCTTTCCAGTCACTTTTTATCCACACATATTCTTTACCTAATCGAGATCATAACAGTGTGCACAACTTAGGTTTTGCCCTTTAGTTTATCATTAGACTGTAAAATTTATCATGTAAAAAATTATAAACATGACTTTAAGCTCTCATTTTCCATTATACGAAATGCCATAAATTACTTAGGCATTTGTTAGTGGACAGTTATATTGTTTCCTATTTTCACTCATAAATATTGCTGTGGTGAATGCCGAGAGATGCTGGCCCTCCTCTCTCATTGTTTTTTCAGAATGTTTCCTAGGGGAGCACTGCTGAGACGAAGGTTAGGCAAGGTTTTCAGATTTTTCATTTTTCTAAGCAAATTGCTCTCCAGAAAGGCTGCATGCGAGTGTTCGGGGCTCTGTTGGCTCCACCGCGCTGCCTGCTCTGTCTCAGCTGCCTGCTGGCTCCAGATGCTGGTAGGGCTGAGACCATAAGCCAAGCCAGGTCGCTGGGGAGGGGGCAAGCCGAGGCCCCACACCTGCAGGATGCGGCCACCAAGGTACAAGCTTCCCTCTTCCCGGTGCTCTCCCTGGCTCCTCCCTCCTCCCTCCTGCCTCCTTCCTCTCGTGGGGCTGCAGGTGCCAGAGCTCTTTCTCTGCTTCCATCCTGAGTCCCCCGCAAACCTGACACAGCCCTGCTTCCTGTTGAAGGTTCCTGGATGGGCAGCCAAGCATTCTGGTCTCCTTAATTAACACGCGCGCGTGCGCGCGCGCGCACACACGCACGCACACACGCACGCACACACACACACACGCACCCCTCGCACCCATAGGAGTGGGCAGTCATCTTTACAAAGAACTGCTCCCTGCCTCGGAGGACAGCACAAGGCAGTCCTCAGAGTTGGAATGTCTTGGGAAGCACTTCTTCAGCCTCCCCATGGTGCACATGGGGAAACTGAGGCCTAGGGAGGGGAGGGGACTTGCTCCAGCTTCACAGAGTACATGTCACACAGGCAGGTGTGGGTCCATCAGCTCTGGTCTCAGAGTGCACTGTCCTCCCAGCTGTTCAGTTCACCCCAATTGAACAAATGGATTGAGCAGCTTTTACGTGCCAGGCGCTGAGGCTTTCAGACTTTATGCGTCGCCCATGCCACGACATTATTCATGTGTAGATGCCTCTGTGTGTGTAGATTTATCTGGTGGGAGGGGGTGTTGTGGCTTCCCTGACAGAAGTCACTTTCCGTGCCCTCTGCAACTGCAGCATCTCCTTGTCACTGTTGAATCTGGTTTGTGCCACTGATTGTTAACACTTGCCTTTTTATTTTCTTGATGGAATGGGAGAAACACCGGGAGGAACGGGAGACAGGCTGGAACAGAAGCTCATGGCGGGGCACCCAGGGTGGGTAAGCCTGCACTGAGGGAACAGGAGTGCCCCCCTATGCTGCATTGAGGGGTGTGGGAAGGGGAGTACAATTGCACAGGAAACGCCACAAAACTCCCTACCATCTCTTTCCTTTTTCTCTTACACACCTATGTTCTCCTACTATGCAGCAGGGACTTGGACACATCCTGGATGCCTGGGACTCTTCCCAATAAAGGCTGATGTGCTGCTTGTACTTTGCTGATGACAGAAGGGATAGCATATGGAACAAGCCAATCAGTCCTCCCTGGTGATGGGGTTCATTCTCCTGGGACTCTCTGACCACCCAAAGCTGGAGAAGACATTCTTTGTGCTCATCCTGTTCATGTACCTGGTGGTCCTGCTGGGCAATGGCGTCCTCATCCTGGTGACCATCCTCGACTCCCACTTGCACACACCCATGTACTTCTTCCTGGGGAATCTCTCCTTCCTGGACATCTGCTACACAAGCTTCTCAGTCCCTCTGGTCCTGGACGGTCTCCTGACCCCCAGGGAAACCATCTCCTTCTCAGCCTGTATTGTGCAGATGGCGCTCTCCTTTGCCACAGCAGGGACAGAGTGCCTGCTCCTGGGAATGATGGCATTTGATCGCTACATAGCCATCTGCAACCCCCTTAGGTACTCTGTGGTCATGCACAAGGCTGCCTATGTGTCCATGGCCATCAGCTCCTGGGCTATTGGTGGTGCTGCTTCTGTGGTACACACATCCTTGGCAATTCAGCTGCCCTTCTGTGGGGACAATGTCATCAACCACTTCACCTGTGAGATCCTGGCTGTCCTGAAGTTGGCCTGTGCTGACATCTCCATCAATGTGATCAGCCTGGGGGTGACAAATGTGATCTTCCTGGGGACCCCAGTCCTGTTCATCTCTTTGTCCTATGTTTTCATCATTGTCACCATCCTGAGGATCCCCTCAGCTGAGGGGAGAAAAAAGGCCTTCTCCACCTGCTCTGCCCACCTCACTGTGGTGATCATCTTCTATGGGACCATCATCTTCATGTATGGGAAGCCCAAATCTAAGGACTCCTTAGGGGCTGAAAAACAGGATCTTTCAGATAAACTCATCCCCCTCTTCTACGGGTTGGTGATTCCCGTGCTCAACCCCATCATCTACAGCCTGAGGAACAAGGATGTGAAGGCCGCTGTGAGGAACCTCATGAGTCCTAAACGCTTCGTGAAGTGATGGTGGAGGCGTCCTCTGTGGTCACCACCCACGTAGAAGGAAAGAATCACAACCAGGTCATCTGCCATTCAAAAGCCAAGTCAAGTTAACCAGAATGGTCCCTCACTCTTAAGTCCATCTGCAGGGAATGTTAACTCTTCAGATGACATCTCCTGAGTTTGGTTCACATGTCGGAAAGTTTCAATAGATGCCAGGCTTAAGAAATCTTCTAATTGCCTGTGATGAAGACATTCTGAACATACGCAGAAACCTCACAAGACAGCAGCCACGAGAGCAAGCCGAGTGGTCCTTATTGTGTCTAAGCTCTGGAGCTAGCACAGGCAAGTGAGGAGATTCTCATAGCAAGTACTCCAGCCTGTTGGATTCATCAGGGGAATCAGAGGAACGTGGAGGGAGTGGGAACTGTCAGGGGGGCTTCAGTTTGTTAGATTCGGTTTGCCTCAAGGGCTGAGAAGAGACAAAAGCAAGTTCTCCACATAGAGACCTTTTGGGTAGGAATCATCTATTTTAATAACTGAGTATCTTTTTAGTTATGACATATTGAGCCTATTTTGTTTCTTGTTGCACTGCAAATTTTGAAACACCACTAAAAATTAAATTAACTCAAGAAAGAAACTAGAATTTAAATTTGACTTTCATTACTAATAGAATCTCCCAACAGAAATGCTAGTATTCTGATAGATACTAACTCATGTTCTGGAAAGAAAAAGATATATAGATAGGTAGAAATAGCTAGATAGGAGCTAAATACATTTGAAGACTTTAGGGCTACATTTTGACAGGTTCTATACTCCAGGTATGCTCAGAGCCTTTTTTATGCCAAGATCCACTGTGAACATCCAACAGGGTAGAAAGTCTGTAATATTTCCAGAGCCACCATGGTTCAGCACAATAAAAACTGGGAAGCATTTTCTTACCTATAAGCTTGGGCAGATTGCTTAACCTCTCAGTCTATTTGTTCATATATGAAAACCTAACCACTCAATTTTATATTCACTAAATAAGATGCTATAAATAAGTGCTTTGTAAATCATAAGAACAATAGAAATGTAAGGTATTAGTAGTATTAATAGTAGTATTACAAATGCTGCACAGTGCAATATGCCATGTATAAAAGAACAAGACACAGTTTCTGTCTCTAACAATAGACACAGAAGATAGATGAGAGGATCAGAGATAGCTGTGGATAAAAAGAAACTGTTTTATGGCCGCAGCTGTCCCGGACATTTCTGAAGTGAGTTTCTTCAACACCCATGTGCTTCCTAAGCTGTACGTGAAGTCACGTTACTGCGTGCATTGTGCCATTCACAGCAAGGTAGAGAAATGGAGCTAGTGAGGCCCACAAGAACTGAACGTCCCACTCCAATTTAGACCTGCAAGTGCTGCCCCAGGACCTCCGCCAAAACTCATGTAAGGAGCTGATTCCTTAAGGACCGACGAAAAACTGTCCCCTGAAAAATAAAATAAAATAGAAACCATACCTTAAAACAGGAAAGATTGCCTCCTTGACTGTATTCTATAAAATAAAAAAAAGAAAAAATAGAAAAGAAGCAGTTTTATGGCAAGTTGTATCAAATTCTGAGATTATCAGAAGATTTATTTTAAAAGAAAATTTAGAGAGTGAATCTGATTTTGAGAACAGATCTTGGAAATTTTTGCTTCAAGTAATATTTAAATTTTCTTATATTTGTTAAGAATCAATTGCATAAGATAAAATAAAATTTCACTTTTCTTTCGTTAGTCTAAGTTCCTGAATTCTACCTGGCGCTAGACGGGAAATCATATTGCTGCTGTGATTACACAAGAGTGACATCTAGCGGCCATGCAAGCCGATGTCAGACATTTACAGAGCCATGCAGCGTCGCTAGAAGAGGCTTCACAGGTCTCCTTGTCCACCCCTAGCAACATAATGCGTGGAGTTTCTCTCCATACCCCTGACCCCAGCCGTCCAGCATCTGCTTGGACACCTCCAGTGACGGACGGTCAACACTTCCAGGGTTTCCTGTTTCATTCAGCCGTACTAGCAAATTCTTCCTTGAATTGTGCTGACATATGCCTGTCTCCAGGAGCTTCTACCTTCTGGTCCTAATTCAACTTTGTGCCTCTACATAAAATATGTTTTCTCTCTTCCTTCTGATATGTGAAGCTAGTTCTCCTAGTCGCCTGAGTCTCTCTCTCCAGCATAAACATCCCCAGTACTTCCACCTGTGCCCAAATCATCCAACCATCCAACTTATCCAACTGACAGGTATTAATACTAAACTGTGTCTATAGCATCATCTGTTTGATTTCAGCAGTGCAAAAAATTGATATTTCTGAAAACACCTTGCTAATAATAATGACGATGCTGAACTAACTCTATTTCTCTAGGGCAGTTGATATCAGTCTAGAGAGACACTCGGACGAGCCCTACCCTCCGTGAGGCTGTCCTCTACTCGATTTCTCTTCCTTGAGGAATGGCAGCCATATGCTTTTATATTGCCGATGACATTATTATGGTGTGATTGTTAAGTCAGAAATCACATCCTCTAGGAACAATGGCGCCCTTCACTCCCACTCTCCTTTGGGGGCAAGGGGAGGCGGAACTATTATTGTATCATACTTAATCATACATACAAGTGTATTATTTTAAAATCCCAGTTCTGGGTCAGTGGTGTTTCAGGCTTTTATTCTAGTGACCTAATCCCCAATGAAATCTTTAAGCTGAAACTCCAAATACAAAGTGCGTCTGTTTTGGTTGAAGCAGGTGTGAGGCTGAGGCAGAGTGGAGGTGGAGGCAGGAGCTGGGATCTCCCACCCAGCCTGCCCTTCATCTCCTCCCCAGAGGTCCTAGTCCACAGGCACCACCAGGCTCTAACCTGGCACAAACCATTGTTGCTGAGAAAATTAGAAATTTTATAAGAATATTTTTGTTTCATGCTCAGAAATAAATGTGAAAATCCTAGGGAAAAAAATACATTCTAAAGAAAAATGAAGTTAATCATTAAAGAGATAGACAACCTAAAAATACCAATTACCTAAGAAGAAATGGAGAAATTATCAAAGAGTTACCACCTTAAGACATTCCAGGCTTAAACAGCTTCAGAGATATGTGTTATTAAACATTCAGGGGACAAAAGGTTTTAATACTGTTTCAATTATTTCAGAGCATACAGTGAGAAGGGTATCTTCCAAACCGCTTTAACCAAGCCAGCATAACATTGATACCAAAACATGACAAAGAAGGTACAATAAAAAAAGACTAGACATCTATCTCATTTATGTATACGTGTGTGTGTGTGTGTGTGTGTGTGTGTGTGTGTTTGTGTGTGTGTATAATAGAATTGAGCAAAACAAAAGAATAACGGCCGGGCGCGGTGGGTCACGCCTATAATCCTAACACTCTGGGAGGTGGGCGGATCCGAGGTGCGGATAGTTTGACCTCAGGAGTTCGAGACCAGCCTGAGCAAGAGCGAGACTCCGTCTCTACTAAAAAAATAGAAATTAGATGGATAACTAAAAATATATATAAAAAAAAATTAGCCGGGCATGGTGGCGCATGCCTGTAGTCCCAGCTACTCTGGAGACTGAGGCAGGAGGATCGCTTGAGCCCAGGTGTTTGAGGTTGCTGTGAGCTAGGCTGACGCCACGGCACTCTAGCCCGGGCAACAGAGTGAGACTCTGTCTCAAAACAACAACAACAACAACAACAACAACAACAAAAGAATAATAAACCACATACAAGTAGGTTTAGTTTTTAAATATAAATATAAGGATAGAACAATTCAAGGTCATCTATCAATATAATTCACTACTTTCAAGTATTGAGAGAGAAAAAATGGTCCTTTCAATGGATTCCCCAAAGTTATTTTGGGGAATCAATTTCTGAGTTATAACCTCTTCTAATAAAATAGTAATGAGTATGTTCTTTAACAAAATTAAATTTATGTCTCTAACAAAAAATATGTATCATGCCTACTGGTGAATAAGTAGATTGAACCCATTATAATTTAACACTGTTCTGGAAATATCAACTATTGAATTATAGAACAGAAAGATATACAAGATGAAATAGAAAAAAGTAGGAAATAATTTTATTATTATCGATAACTGATATATTGGCATATTTATACCTAGTCAAAATGGGAAAATCAATCAAAAAGTAATTTTAAAACACAAAAGAAGGTCGGAGGCGGTGGCTCATGCCTATAATCCTAGCACTCTGGGAGGCCGAGGCGGGCAGATTGTTTGAGCTCAGGAGTTCGAAACCAGCTCTGAGCAAGAGCGAGATCGTGTCTCTACTAAAAAATTAGAAAGAAATTAATTGGACAACTAAAAATATATAGAAAAAATTAGCCGGGCATGGTGGCACATGCCTGTAGTCCCAGCTACTCG